AATTGGGTCAAGTCCAAGGTCGTCATGGAGGCCAAGAACTCCCGAGTTGCCGCCGACGTTTCGCCCGCAGATGGCAGATTGAGATCCCCCATGACTATAAGTCTGGGGGTCTCCACCGCCACCCCGGCTATTACATCAGCCAACTCAGGCAGGGCCGTTGATACATAGCAGGGGGCCAGGTATATAATCAACAGGCCCACTTGTACCCCTTGTCCCCACTTCACAAGGAGGGACTCTGCACCGTCTATCTGAGGCACAGTGGTCTCCCTCGGACATAGGCTCTCCCTTATAATGACCGCTACCCCACCGCGCCTGCCCCGGGCCCTCGGTTGATGGAATGCCTGGAAACCCGGCGGGCATAGATCAACAAGGGGAACTCCCCCTTCCATGCCCAGCCAGGTCTCGGTGATACCTGCCAGGTCCGCTCCCCCCTCTTGAATAAGCTCTTGAATGAGGGGGGCCTTATTTACCACGGACCTGGCGTTGCATAACATCAGCCGATGATCCCGGGGCCGAGGATCTGAAGTCCCTGGAAGCCGAGTAGAGCCCTGAGGATCGGAGCACCCGCAAGCTTGTAAGCAGCGTGTGCGTGCTCCCAAAACCCGATATGGTCCTCTGCTCCCGCGATATCTGCCCCTCCCACTGACCGTACTAATCACACCACCCTCTATTAACCCCCCAGTCTCCTCCCTCACCATTCCGCGCCCCCCAGACTGGACTGGCCTTGGCCTCAGAGAGGGCTCCCCCAAGTCCCCTCGGGCCAACCCCGAACCCCCTAAAAACCCCAAACCCCTTAAAAATTTACTAAAACACCCCTTTAAAAAGACCCTCAGTTTCAACTTCTTTTGATCTCTTTTAGCTGCATACCGCCTCTCGGGGCTCCACACCCCGTCATTGAGGCAGGCCCTTGGGATTGAATTGGGCCACACCTGCGCAAGGGGGGAATCGCGCAGGGCCAGCAGTTCTGACCTGAGGTACATCCCAGTCAGTCACAAAGTCCAGCAGCAGAAAAGCCCAAAAAAAGGGGGGGGGAAACAGTCCTCCTAAACGTTAGTCCAGTTTAGTTCAGTTCAGGGGGCTGAGACAGATGGAAAGGTAGGACAGGGAGTGGCAACAACAGATGTCCTTGTCGTTCGTTGTCCTCCTGGCAATGAGGTGGAGTGGTGGGAATGGTGGTGGGGGTGGGGGGTGGGGGGCAGATTAAACAGCCCCTCTCCTCCTCCACCAAACCTCCATCTAACCCCCCCCACCATCCAGCCGAAG